GGGATGGTAAATTTCAGTGGTGAAGATGAGGGCAAAGGTGGAGGTGGTAAAGATGGTGATGGTCTGGGACAGGTGGAGGTGATGGGATGGGGCACCGTTACACCTATGATGAAGGAGAGAGGCTCTGGACCGGAGTGGAAACAATCTCAATTGTTCATGTTATTCCCTGATTTTTATCAAATTTAAGTTAAAGCCAAGCGCACCCATTTTGAGTTCACATGATTTTCTGGAGGACTGGTTTCTCCCTTGAGTCCCTGGGCACAGATTCCTAGTCATGACATATAGGGAACCAAGCCAGTCTTCCTTTCCTCTGTAAGCCACCTGGAGAGATAGAGCTAGTGGAGCACAGGCATGCTGCCAGCCGGAAATGTCAATGCCCATCCAACTGGTCTGTGGAAGACGTTGGGGGGGGGGTCTGGCCACTGGTGCTTAGGGATGTTCTCAGGGGATTGGATGGTGCCTGTGTGTGTGTGTGTGTGTGTGCGTGTGCACGTACACACACGTGCATGTGTGTGATCCTCCTGATCTGCTCTGCCGGCTCAGCTCATCCTCATTGGCACTGTGTGCTCCCGGTGTTCCTAGTCCCAGGCAGCAGCCTGTGTCCTTGTGCAGGTTCTCATCACAAGAAACAGACGGCTGAGTGGGACACCACCTATGCCATGTGTCCCAAGCTCAGCTCCTGCTGGGCCCATTCCTGTCAGGTGCCATGTCTGAGCACATGTGCTCCATCCTGTCCTGTCCTGTCAGAAGCTAGTGTGGTGTGTGTCACAGCCACTCTTCCGCATGGCCTCACAGGCGTCCTTCCAGCCCGTAGGGTGCTCACAGCATCACTTCCAGTGGCTGTACCCTGTTGCCAGCTGCTGCCTGGCTGTAGGAAAACTAGTTTTCCTGTTTTCACTGATGCAAGGGAGACCCACGGAGCACTCTGGACAGAGTGCTCTGCGGATCAGATGACTTCCTCAGGGCTGGCCTGCTACTAGTGTCCTGCAGAGGGCAAGGTACTGCTGAGCTCAAGCAGAAGCCCTGTGTCTCAGGACAGGCCCTCAAGGCAGAAGTGAGGCCTATTCCAAGAGCAGGTGCCCCCACCACGGGTGCCTTTGTTTTCTGATTTTTGCTTTAGTTTTCTGTAGCACTGGGATCTTCACACTGAGCTACACATCTCAGCACTGTTTCTTTTCTTCAATTTGAGATCGAATCTCGCTATGTGGCTAAGTTGCCTAGGGTGGCTCAAACTTGCATTCCTCCTGCCTCAGCCTCCCAAAGAGCTGGGATTGCTGATGTGCAATACCACGTCCAGGTTGGGTGCCTCATTTACAAAACAGGTCCACCTCTCTCTGCTGGCTCCCACATGGCTGTGCCTCCTTGGAGAAATTGCAGCCACTTAGTCACAGTGTGCTGGCCTCCACTGCTGTTGAGCCACTCCCAGGAGGACAGGACTCCACTCAACTCAATCTAGGGCCTTTGCCCCTTGGTGCTCAGGGAGGTCCCCAGAGTGAGCCCCTCCTCTTCAAAGCCTTGGTACCCTTTGTTCTGCACTGCTCCACGGCCAGAATCAGCCTCCTTTCCCCTGCGATGCCCTGACCTGTGAGGAGAGATGGTGGGAAACGGAGCCAAACCACAGGATGGAGAGGCGTGTCTGTCTTCACACCCCTGTTTTTATTGTTATTTATTTTTTACTTTTTTTTTTTCTTCCAGTGCCAGGAATTGAACTCATGACCTTGCACTTGCCAGGCAGGTGCTGTTCTGCTGAACTAAATTCCCACCCCCTATTCTTTAATGTAAAAAGCAGCACTTGGTCTTTGCACAGCTCCCCAGGCACTGTGAGGACCTGCTGGACAGTGGCTCGGAGTGCAGTGTGCCTCAGGTCGGCAGGGCGCATCTGGGGGCAAATGCATCTCTGGGGGCAAATGCATCTCTGGGGGCAAATGCATCTCTGGGGGCAAATGTAATGGTTTCCTTCCTTTCTCACCTCTGGGCCCTGTGTGTCCTTGGTGCTTCTGGGACTTGTTTGAGCTGAGCTACACCCACGCTCGGTCAGGTGGCCTCACTGCCCAGGGACCTGGTTGGACGCTGCAGGCCTCAGAGGTCCTGGCCTCCCCAGCTCCCGCTCTGCTGCTGGCTTCTGTGGTTTGGTTCTGCTCTCTGTGGGCCTCAAGCTTCCTGCTGCTCATGGAAATGGGTGAGGTTGGAACATTCTGGTGGCCCTCAGCCTGTCATTTTTGCTGGTGAGACAGTTTCACAGTTGTCCTGGGTGGATGCGGATAAACATTCTTGGTGAGGCTACGTCTGCCTTTTTTCTCAGCGTGTGGCTCCTGTGAGAAGGACCCTTCCTCTTCCCCGAGAGTTGGTGTGGTCAGGACTCATAGCAGACTGTGTCCAACATGGGCTCTGCCCCGCCGCCAGCTGCTGGCAGTGGCCTGGCTTTGCCATGCCTGACCCTTTGGAATGAAAGCTGCCAGGGCTGGGCCGCCCGCCTCAGGTCTGCTGGCAGAATCGGCCTGGGGAGGACTCAGCCCCTTGGAGGCCACTGTACCGTGCCTCTTCTCCACCGTGGCCCTGAGGACAGAGTTCTAGTCCTGCTCCAAGTCAGGTCTACAGCATCAGACTCCAACACCCCAGGCTCGCTGCTGGTCGCAGCCCCTGGCCTGCCTGGGTGTGGGTCAAAACCAATGACATTAGTTACTTTGAAAATGACAGTTTCCACTTTACTAGATTTAACCACATATAAAAACTTGGCTGTTTTCAAACTGTCTGTAAATTAGATGTGTGCGTGTCTGTGCACACTGCGTGTGGTATGGACTGTGAAATTGCCTCGCTTCTCTCCGTGGCCAGCTGCCCACTCCCCTCAGGTAAGGACAGTGGGGCTGTGGCTCGGGCTGTGGCTGGTGACTCCTTGGCCTGACGAAGGACCCAATTTGGCCTTGTGACCCCCCAGCCAGGGGCCCATCCTCCTCCCCATGTGGAAAGGGTGAAAGAAGGGCCCCACTAGTGCTTGTGAGCTCTTGTTTTCTCACTTAAAAATGTATATGTATAAATACTATGTGTCAGTTTAAAAACTAAATTTAAAAGCTACAATATTCTCTGCTGAGTCTGCCAGCTGCCCTTTTGTAAGCTTTATCTTTGATTGGCGTATGGTGACGGCATGTTTTTCAGGGGTACAATGGGTTTTAACATAGACAAAGACTATTTTCTTTGTGGCAGAGTTGGTCAGACTCTTAAGACAGAAGAACAGAGGAAGAGAGAGAGACACACGCACACAGACAGGCAGGAAGACAAAAAAAGAAAGAGAAAGAAAAAAAAGAAAAAAGGAGCAAGAAGAAGGAGCAAGAAGTCTCTCCTCCAGGCAGGAGGAGAGACTACTGTGAGTATAGATTTGTCCGCATCCCTTGGGCCAGTTGTGTGATTCTAGGTGGCCCAGGTCAGAAGCCAGCGACCTCAGGTCACTTCATGGTATCAGGTTCTTGTGGATAAGACCCCAGTGACACTACCACATCGCCAGCCGCACCTTGTCTAATCGTTACCGCTGTTTAGCACAAGCACAAGCACACACACACACACCACCACCTCCACCACTCCACTTCACCTCCACCCTGCTTTAAGAATGGAAGTCATTTTAACAAGTGAGACGTCAGCATCTCCATGGTTGCCTTGGCGCTTTCCACGGTGGCATCCTCGGGGGCCCTCCCTCAGATCCTGCTCCTTGATATGTGGTCAGGGGCCGGGCTGGTGGCCTCCTGTGGTCAGTGTCCTCTCCTGTGCAGTAAGGAAGCAAGTTAGAGAGGAGACACAGAGGTGAGAGGCAGGCAGGTGCCTGTCCCAGGCTGGCTCTCGGGGAGAGGCCAATGGAGACCCAAGCCCCGGCTCACAGGTCTGTGTCATGTAACCTGGCCAGGCTCTGGTGCTTGCTGTGCCCTGGGCATGGTGAACCCAAGGGTCCCCTGCTGAGTTCCTCTTCTCCATCTCTTCCTCAGACAGAAATGCCTGCTTCCAGCAAGTCCTGGGGACAGCAAGCCCTCTGGGGTCCCATCCCTCAAATGTGCCATTTTTCTTCATTCTTTCCCTTCTCACTGGGCACCTGAGAACTGATGAAGGTGATGGGTGCAGAACGACTGTTTCCTTATGGGTATTTGGTGGATACATTTACCTACTCAGGAGACACGAGGTTTGCATGCCGCTAGGCTTCTGTCAGTGTGAGCATTATTATGGGAGAAGCACAGGCAATCCAACAGAGCAGGGGTGATAAAGGCCCTGAGAGGATACAGCAGTGCAGACACCTTTCTGGACACACAATGAAACCCTAATTCCAGGTCACCCTGTCCACTACTAAAGAACTTTCCTTCTGTTCATTTAGATCAGTGTCTTATGTAATTGAACTAACAGTGTATTTTGTAATAATACTGTGAAAGATGGGTGGAAGTACTTCTTCAAAGTCCCCTTGTGCATTGCTGTCCTGGCTTACGGAGAGCATTATGACCATTCTTACCTCTCTCAGGTTTGCTCCTGATGTGAATAAGGGGGAGCACTGTGGAGCGATACTGAGAGGTCAAGTCCTCTTGACAGAGCAGGTGAAATGGGAGAGAAGAGGTGAGAACACCTGTTAGCAGCTCCCAGCCAGACAGGTAGCAGCTGGAGCCCAGGCAGGAGGTTTTAGGGTCAGGAAGTGTGATCTTGGCTTTTATTTGTTATCTCTGAAATAACCGGGGCTCATTCAGCTGCCCCAGGCTTCCATCTTGCCTGTAGAATACAGTGGCCCGTTTTACTCTGTCTCTTCCTGAATAAGGTCAGTACCCAGAGCGTGGAATGAACAGCACGGGGAAGCTGCCTGCCCCATAGCAAGTGCCAATGAGTGGCAGCTAATGTGGCTTTATGTCTGAGTGGCCCCAGGGCCATCCCTCTGCAAAATAAGCCCCCAAGAAAGCATTCAAGTCTAAAGCAATTTTCTGGTGTTGACCCTTTTTGCGATTAACCCTCTTGATGTAGCACGAAGCTTCCTCGGTGACTCCAGAGAAGCGAGTTCTGAACTTTAATCGGGTTGAGACTTGCCAGGACTTTCATGTGTGGAAGAACAATGAGCCCAGATGGAGGGAGGCTGAGCAGGCTGCAGCAAGCCCTTCCTGCTGGGCCTGAACCGTGAGGCCGGGACACACTGCCACCTGTGGACATTGGCAGGCCCTCAGAGCGTCAGGGCACAAGGGACTCACTCTTGAGCAGAGCAAGAGCCATCCGGCTGCTGCCCTTGCAGAAGGGGTAGTGCATACTTTTTACGGAAGCTCAGCCTCAAAGGTCACCTTTCACAAAAAGTAACCTTCATAGAATCTCACCAGGCACTTTAGCCAGCTCTGCAACAACGTGAACAGCTGCAATCACCTCCGCTGTTCTAACGCCCTCTGCCACTTTAGCATCTGTGGTAAGCTGTAAAGTTTGCTGGAGAAAGTTTTGCCTTTGTTTTCTTTCCTTCATGCTTGTGAAGTTCACATACTGCTTTCAGTTTTGCTAGTTTTAGAAAGAAGCAAACAAAAATATTAATTTTTACTCAGAGCCAATTGTTTGCTTTCACTCTAAAATACTCGCTCTTTTCTGGACCGTCTACATATCCAGCATCTCTTTAGGATCTCAGAGCACTTTTGGGTTTCTGATTTTCTTATTAGGGATGCTCACCTGGTAGAGTCTATGCAGAGTCCAAAATCTGAATAAGGCTGAAATCTGAAATATTTCTGGTCCTGGGCATATCAGATAAGGTCTACTCAACCAGAGCATACATTTTTATGGTGTTATTAAGACTTGATTAGTGTTTTGTTGTTCCAAAGGTCCACAGGTTGGGAGGTTTAGCTTCCAGAACCCTGGGCAAATGAAAGCCTTTATGACCAAGCAGGGTGGGGGAGGGAGGGTCTGTCTGGGGCTTGGCCTTGCCTTTTGGTTTCTACCCTTGGCGGGACATACTACAGTCATCACCATCTAAATGGAAATTAAGAAAACAGGCAGCCTGGCCCACGGAAGTCCCTGGTACCAGTTGTCTGTGATGATTGCCTTTGTTTTTTCCTCACATTCTGAGAAAACATATTCTTGTCTTCAATCTGCAGGTGTGGCAGAGGTAGGTGACTCAGCAGTCATTATATTTAAGATTGGCAAGACAGCAAACCCTACAACCTTATGTCGATTCTCCATCCAGCCACCTTTTCCTTTCTCTGCCTCTCTCCTTCTTCTGCCATTCTTCTTTCCTTTTTTTGACATTTGGACGTTACGATGGTCAGTAAAAAGCAAACATCTGTTCCAGTTTAAGTGGTAAAAAACATAAAACCAAACTGTCCTTGAGTTCTGATTAAGTTTTGTCTCTTATGCATTTACAAAATAAAAATGACAAAACTCTTCCTGAGGGTGTTATGGCATCAGGCAGACATTAGAGATGATGCTTAATTCATGCAGATTCACTCCTAGGACCAGAGTGAAAACATTTGCACCTATTTAAAAGGCTGGCATGACGTGTGTCTGTTGAGTTTGCCCTTTGATTTCGGTCCAGGTATGATCAGCTCTTTCATACACATTATCCAATTAGTGAGATGGGCCTCCTTGCTGCCACAGCCTGTTGGCTTGAACTTCAAGCTTTCCCAGGTTATCTGGGGGACCATCACAGCACCTTCCTCAGACTGACTTAGACACCTCCTGAAGATATGAAGCTTGACTGGGGACCTTTGATTCTAAAGAGCCCAAAAGAAGTAGAGACCCCAATTCCAGAATCCTAGGAAGCTGAAATAGCCAAGCAGCATTGTCAGAGCTGAGTGTGCCTCCACAGGGCTCATAAAAAGGTCCTAACCTCCCCTGCTCATGGCTGAACATCTGACTGCACCCAACAGCCAGGTGCTATTTACCAGTTGGAGTCCCGAGATGCTCAGCTGAAGCCAGGAAGGAACAGTCAATGATGTCACAGTTGGTGGGAGATCTGTACCTCTGTGTTATTCAGCTTTTTATCCCTGTAACAAAATTTCTGAGCTATTTAGTTTATAGAGAGGGCTGCTTTACTTTGGCTCTTGGTTTTGGAGGTTGCAGTTCTTGGCTGGTTGGCCTTGTTGCTTTTGGGGCTGTGGTGAGGCAGTATGTCACAGCAGGGAGCAAAGCTATTTAGCTCATTACTGACACATGAAAGAGAAAGGAGAGACAAGGGTCCTACAAGACCTCTGAGGGTGTGCCTTCAGTCACCTAAAACCACCCAGGCCCCACCTTGGAACGGTTCACTACCTCTCAACAGCACACAGACTGGGGACCAAGCCTGGGACACGTGGGCTGGGGGACATTCCAGAGCCAAACTGTAGCCAAACTGTGCGTGGGGCTGCATATATCATGCAGCACCAGCAGAATGAAGGTGTCAGCCTTGCCCAGTCGCCCCAGCCAGGGCCACATGTGAGGCTGGCCTTTGATGCCGACCCACAAATCTGGGGCACTTGAGCAGCTCATTTGCTCAACCTAACATAAGTCCATTTGTTAGACTGGCAAAATGCCTCCTACAGAATATGTCCTTCCTGGTAAATGAATGGCTCAGACTCTCTGATGGCCCACTAGTTCTGTGTGCCAGACACTGTGCTCTACACGTTTTCTTCCATTTGCTCCCAAGGCCAAGACTTTAGTAGCAAGGCATCTGTTGCAGTTTGGGGAGGACCTTCTCTCTGAAGGTCCATGTGTGGAAGGGTGATTCTAGCCTGCACCAAGACTGAGAGATGGCGGATCCCTTAAGCGGTGGGATGCAGGGGAGGAAGCCAGGTTGCTGGGGGTGGCCTCACAGGGGAGTTTGGGATCCCAGCCCCTTCAGCTCTGTCTCTTTGGTTCTCAGCTACCATGAGGTAAGCAGTTTTTGTCCACATGTGCTCCTGGCCATGGTGTTCTGCCTCATCATTGGCTCAGAGTAATGAGACAAACCATTCATGGACATGGAACTCTCTAAAGCCAGGAACCAAAATAAGCTTTTCCTTTGTATAAGTCAGTTAACTCAAATTTTCTACTATTGTAAAAGAAAGCTGACTAACAGAACATCTAATTTTTAGGTAAAGCAGTTGAGGTCCGCAGATAGCTGCTTAGCTGAGATTTGGACCCAGATGCTCCTGGCTGTAAAGATTAACAGAATATCAGAAGGAACCAATGACCAAGTAGGCATCCTGTCCACTGGATTTCTTTCTTACAAACTTGCATGTTTATAAAAGTCAGTTATACAGAGGTGAAGAAGAGAAGAGGACATAGTGGGTTTCAGCAGCTAGCCAACCAGTAAGGTTGTCATGGTAACCTGAACCTGTGGTCAATTGCTTCCTTATGTCTAGTGTCATGACACTTCCCTTAAACTTTGGTTCCTCAGGAAAAATCAGTGGTGATTGGAAGAGTGTAGGGCAGAGACAGCCAGTTGTCCCTAACACCAATCCACTCTTTCTTCCTGAGTTTTAATTAGGTGAGTTAACTTTTATCTAGAGAAGGCATTTCCCAGCCTCCTTTGGTTAGGTGTCATCATGTGACCAAGAGTGGGCCAATGAGATTCGAGAGAAAGTGATATGAGCCTTTAAAAGGAAAGGGGGTGTCTGCTACTTCTTCCCTTGACTTTGCAACCCAGGAAACTGGAGTAGCTGTCTGCAACCCAGGAGTGAAGCCTTGCATTAAGAATAGCAGAACTTACACTGGCCCAGGCAATTTGCCTTTGCCCCCTACATTAGAAGGAAACAAACACATTTCAACCACTGTGTTCTGGGGTCTTTGTTATAGACATTCAACCTGCATTCTGACTCATGTAATCAGGGCCTGCCTGTCCATGCCAAGTTAATTGGGGCCAGCTGGAGTCATGAGGGACAACCTCAAAGGTAGAGGTTCTGGGGTTACAGAAGCAACATGAGGCACAGGCAGGCCACTCAGAGGACAAATGAAGGTTCTTGTTTCGTTTCTCATTTAAAAGATGAAAATCAGTCTTGCTTCATTTTCATCTTAACTGTCACTGGAAGGAATTGCATTCATCTAGGACACCTGCAATAAACAATCTGGCTTTTCTTCATTTGACTTGGAGAACACAGAAGGCAGGGAAACAAAACCATACACAGAGAAAAACAGACATTTTCTCTTTGCTGTGTAAATGGGCAGTGAGTGGGGCAAGATGGAAGCCACCCTGGTTGGAGATCTGGAGGCTCAGACTCCTGCTGCTGGTCAGAACCTCAGCTGGGACAGAGGGGGAAGAGAGCCTGGGCTCAACCTCTTCTTCCTGCCCCATTCTAACACACTGTGAGCTTTCCCCTGTCATGAGAGTGGGGAAGACCAAAATCCTTGGTCCTGGCCTGGCCACTGTGATTGGCTGGCCTGAGGAAATGATTACATAGGGCTCCAATGCCAGGAGCCCATGTGACTTGATCAGGAGGTCCTGGAAATCTCAGCATCTAGAGGATCCCACTGAAAGGGAAAAACTGTATAAGACAAATTATTCTTTTTAAAACTGTTGTTTTGAAACTGCTTAGCACTGTAACTGTTTCATGGCTTTGTAATTATTTTCTTGACTCCTACAACTGTGAGCATGTAATCAAACATGCAGGATGTCTGATTGTACCATTGTACCAAGCTTCATGAACTGATGATCATTAATCTACCCTTGTAACTGATGATCTCACCCTGCTAGCTAATCAGAAGAACTGCCAGGCTGTTCTGTCTCACTCTTGCACCTCCTTTGTACCTCCTGCTTATGCATGATATAATAGCCTGATATTCTGGGAATGATCCCAGTCAGTGCCCAATGATGTAAATAAATCTGCCTCCAAATCCTGGGTGTCATTTCGGTGTTTCTGTCTGCCATTGCACCATCAGGATGGAACCATGAGAAGCTGAAGTCATGGAAGCGGCCATGTGCAGACTCTGATCGACCAGTGCTTACATGAGCGGTAGAGCCATTTGAGTCTTTCTGCTGAGGTCCAGGCATCATGAAGAAGAGGTAACATCCCCACAGCCCCAGCCCCATGCTTCTTCTGACCTATAGGACAGTGCCAGTGAGTTACTTCATTCCACTGAGTTTGGGTACTTTATTATGCCATGGTTAGCACATGTTGAAAAGCAGGCCTTGAGCTATGAGTCATCTGTAAATTTCAAGGATGGGACATAGATATTTGGTGGATGGAAGAAAGGTCTTTGAAGAGTCATATCAAAAGGCTCCTCTGGATAAACACAGAAACTCAGTAGAGAAAATAGAATATCCCTTCTGAGCACGGCTTCCCTGGAGCTGGCCTGAGGCTCAGGCAAGTGCAGGCTCTGAGAGGCAGCAAGTGATGGAGTTTGGGAACTGAATGATTATACACAGATGGAGTCACCCTTATCCAAAACGTTTGGAGCCAGAAGGTTTCTGATTTTAGAGGTTTTTTTTTTTTTTAAAAAAAAATTTGCATGGACTTTACTGGTTGGTCATCCCCAGCTAAAAAATTTGAACTCTAAAATACTCCAAAATTGATACCCATGTGAGTTACCCATGTGATATTTATAATGTTTTGGATTATGGACTATTTCAGATTCAAGATGCTCCACCTGTATCCCTAAATAGCCTTCATGCTCAGCACCACACCCCTGTGTCTCTGCCTCCCCTCTTGAGCAACAGTGGGGTAGGGAGTGGGGCCAAAGCGTGGTCAGAGTACAAGGGAGCACTCTTGTGTGAGGAGCTTCCCAAGGCTGGGCCTGGGGAAGCGAGTGAGAGTGAGAGAAGCATCAGCTCCTCGTCCTTTTGCAGGGCTGGTGTGCAGATCCCCAGCAGCAGGTGCAGGTCCATCTGTGGTGAGGGTTCAGAACCTGCCAGAGCCAGCACTGAGCATTCCTGGCTGGGGCTTGGATCCATGAAA